AGAGACAGTTAATTGCACGGGAGGAGATTACCCATCCTTCTCCCATAGAGCTGGTGGTGGATTTGAACTGTGTGCTTCAGAATTGCAGTGCAGCTGCATCTATTGTAAAATATAGATTTTATGAACATTTCAAGTTGGCTCATTTTAGCTTTCTTGACTTTATTGCATGAGAGCTTTCCATTTTAACTATTTTTGTTTTCATCTTTGTTCTTTCCTGCCTTGCACTTTTTTGTGTGCTTCATTTATCTTGCCCTATACCTTCCTGAGTTGGAAGATCAGGTTACTGATTTATTTCTCTGCCCTCTTCTAACATATGCATTCAAGGGTATAAATTTCTTGTTAAGCACTATCTTGACTGCATCCTGCAAGTTTTGTTCTGTCTTATTTTCATTTTCACTCAAAATATTTCATAACATCCACTGTAATTTTTAATTTATTTTTTAAAAAGTTTGTTTCATTTTTGTTAGTAAAAGAAAGTTCAATTCTGACTGTAAAATCCACACTTGTTCTTTTACGCATTTTTTAGTCACATACCCACTTACCTCATCATACCTCTCTCAGGGACATGAGCTCCCTGATGCACATCAGCCTCTTTGTTGGATTTACTCATCAGTAAGCAAATGGAAATTGAACGAGTCATGGATTGAATTGCATACCCCCAGAATGCTGTCAGTCTTAACCTCTGTGCCTATGGTTAGGGGAGCTCTGATGGTCTAGTGGTAAGGAGCTTCACTGTCAACCTAGGTATTTAGAAATGTGTTACTTAATTTTCAAACATTTGAGGATTTTTACCTTACTATATCATTATTAATTTCTATTTTAATTCTTATGTCTTCTTAAGTAATGGCCACACATGTGAGGCAAACATTCATCTGTACTTAGAAAAATTACTGATTTCTCCAGTTGTTGGCTGTAATTTTCTGTAGCTGCCAAGTAGGTCAATTTAGTTGCTGAGATTGTTAGATGTTTCTATATTTTTATGGGGTTTCTTTTTTTGGTTGTTGTTCAGTTCTCTTATTTAATGAGAGATTTTAAATTTGTTTCCATTTTGTATACTCATGGGTTTAGCAGTAGCCTCTGTAAATAAATCTTAGTAAAAGAAAGCATATTTATGATAAACCTGTGAACTGGCATAGATATTTTATTTGAATCTGGGAAAACTGAATTCTCAACTAAAACCAAAACAGGTTTATGGAAACAGATGGAGGAAAGGAAGAGAGACAGGACAGCCAACTGAAAATATGCTACAAAGCAGAGTAAACATATGTTTCTAAGTTACGTTTAAACCTTATCTGGAAGAATCTCAAAGTGTCTGCATCACTAGATTTAATGAACATTTTCCCTAGGTGGGTGATGATATAGAAGAGCAGTGCAAAGTAGATATTATAAGTGTAATTACTTCACAAGGTGCTTAAGCACAGACATTATCTCCTAGGAGCACAACTCTCCTGTAAGGCATATAATTCTGCTCCATAGAGTAATAAACTGAAACACCCTGAGGTGAAATAATTTGCCTATACTCACAAATTCAAAAGCTGTTGCAGCTGTACACTCTCAAGGAACTGTCAGAAATTCAAGTAAGATTCAGAAAATAAATAACAAGAAATATCGTCACTGATATAAGATGGATCTCGACTTACAGCAGAAAGATGTTTACCTGTGCTCTATTTACTGTGTATGTTGAGCAAATTATTAAAAAATCTAAACTCTATGGAGAAGAATGTGGCATCAGGATTGAAGGAAAACTTATCAATAACCTTCAGTATGCAGATAATACAACTTTGCTTGCTGAAAATGAGGACAACTTGAAACACTTGCAGCCTTCAATATGAATTGCATCTCATGTCAAGAAAACAAAAGTTTCACTACTGGGCCAATAGGTGGCATCATGATAGAGAAAAAATGGAAACTGTTAATGGCTTGATCTTACTTGATTCATAATCAACATTCTGGTACCAGCAGTGAGGAGACCAGGAGATGTACTGCACTGGGAAAGTCTGCAGTCAGGGATCTCTCCAAATTACTGATGAGCAATGATATTAATTTGAGGACTAAGGTACACCTGATTCAGACTATGGTCTTGCCAATCACTTGCTATGCTGCTGAGGGCTGAATAACAATGAATAAGGATGATGGAAGAAAAATTGTGCTGTAGTTGGAGGAAAGTATTGAATGTCTCTTGGACTGTCAAGAGACCAAACCACATATGCCTTGGATAAGGTATATCCAGAGTCTTCTTGGAGGCATGGATGGCGAAGTTTCATCTCACATACTTTAAGTATCCAGTTACGAGAGGTTATTTTTTGGAAAAGAACATAGTGCTTAGAGAGGTGGAGGAATGATAAGGAGAGGAAGACTCTCAACCAGATATAATGACACAGTGATTGCTGCTATAGGCTCGAGTATGTGAGAAACTGTGAGGGTGGCAAAGGATACAACAGGGTTCATATCTGTTGTTCATTAGGTTGCTATTGTTCACTGAATATGTTGTTCATAAGTCATACTCTCTTGAAAGCACTAAACAACAACAACATTGACTGTGCAAAGGCATTCAATTATATGGATCATAAAAATAATGTATAATGTTATGAGTAGTGGGGATTATAGAATATTTGATTAGGCTCATGTCCAACTAACACATAAAACAAAAGACATACATGCCCACAGAAGAGGGGATGGTTTAAAAATAAAGAAAGATGTGTGTTTGGTTTATTTAATCTTATTAATCATACTTATGTCAGAGGTTTTTCATCCTATTTGCCATACTTACTCAGTCTGTATTAAGAGCAAATACTTTGAGAAACAGGATTATATGAAGAAGAACAGAGAAGTAAGATCAGAGGATGAATCTCTAATAACCTGTTAGATGTATATGATACAACTTTACATCTTGAAAGAATATTCTAAATACTTGATAGAGATCAAAGACTACAGACATCAATATGAGTTACAGCTAAAGAAAACATATTTCCTCCCAACTGGACCAGTAAGCAAACATGATAATGGAGAAAATATTGAAGTCATAAAATGTATCCACAATCAACATCTGTGAAAGTAATAGTGGAGAAATCAAGTAAATAAATTCTATTTGGTAAATGTGTTGGAAAGGACTTCTCTGAAGTATTAAATAACAAAGATGGTATGTTAGAATCTAAAGTGTACCAGACCAGTTATCTCATATACATACAATAGCTGAATGGTAAATAATAAAGATAAAAGAAGAATTAATTGATGCCTTTGAATTATGGTTTTGTCAATAAAAATGAAATATGCCATGAACTATCAGAAGAATGAACAAATCTGTTTTATAGGAAGTACAGACCAGTTGTTCCTTAGAAGCAAGGGTGTCAAGATTTCATCTCACAAATTTATACATGTTATTGGGAAAGACCTCTCTGTGGAGAAAGAAGGATATCATGGTGGGGACAATAGAGGATCAGAGGGGAAAAAAATAAGAAGGAGATTCTCAGCAAGATGGGTTGACAAAGTGGCTACAATGGTGGGCTCAAACATTGAGATGATGGTTCAGATGGCACAGGCCACAGATGGTTTCATCCTGCCATACACAGAATCACTATAAATGGAAACTTGACTTGACAATATGTAACCACAATGATAGGGACCTCTGGTGGCTTAGTGGTAAGGAGCTGTGCTGTGAACCTGGAGGCAAATGGCTCGAGTCCACCAGCTGCTCCATGGGTTAAAAATGGGCAATTTCCTTTCTTGTACTCTATGTGTTCTGAAAACCTGCTAACATGTTAGATATGAGTAGGTCTGACTTGACAGTACTTAACAATAACTACAATGACAGGATCACATCGCTGGTGACTAGAAGAACAGTTACTTGAACATAGGTCTTCTTCTGAAGCATTTGTATGTCCTTTCTAGTACATTTAATGATCACTTTCAACAACTATTATATAATCTTGATCTATGACAGAGTGTTCCTGGTGAGAAAAAATTAATAAAAATGACTATAATTAAGATGGAAAATTGTCCAGAGAATTAAGCCAAGATATTTGCAATAAAAGGAACTAAAATGACATAAAATGTATGCAATATCATCATTCAAAGTGCAATAGGAACTCAATAAAAGCCCATTTTAAAAGACACTACAATTTTATGATTTGGGCGTGGAAAATTAGAGTCATAGAACAAAACAAAATCATCAGTAGAAGACTTTAAAATAATAGTAGTGTAAAGTTTTACTGTTAAGCACTACCCATTGGCATCCTCAAAATGCAGGGACAAACAGCATTTGAAATATGGGGGGATAGAGGAAATACCAGCGTTAAGAAATTTCATTGTAAAAGATAGAAACTAAATATTGGATTTAAATACATTTTTGCCTTTTGAATTTTCCTCAAACCACAAATCTTTATTCAAAGTATGCTGAACATTAACTAACCTAACCTGCTGCTAAAAAACACAAATGCTGCAGTTTGTTATCTGCAGGTAAATATCTATACATTGTCTTTTGAAAGTATTTCTTAATAGTTTCTGATCTTTTGAAAGTATTTTATAATACTTCACAGTTGACTCATTTGACTGTACTGTTTCCATGAAATATTACTTTTATTCATAGTTTTAGTCATTCTTAATCATGTTACTGTGAAACAAAATTTAGTTGGACTAGAACTAGATATACGAAAGTAGAAGGAGTCCTGATGGCCGAGTGGTAAGGAGCTGCACTGCAATCCCAAAGGCACTCAATTTGAATCCACCAGCTGCTGCATGAATGACAGATCAACAATCTCCTCTGATGCAATTCATTGCCTCTGAAAACCTGCTGGAGCATCAGCTATGGGTCACTTCCGACTTGACAGCACACAATAACATATACAAGGAGACTACACAAGTGATAATGTCATCATTTTTATTCCAGTAAATTCACGTTCATATGAATAATTGAAAAAAAATTGGAGACAAAAGACTTGATCTAACAGACATAAATCTGGCCCATAATATGAGATGTTTTCTAAAACTTTGAGGTGACTCTTATGAACATACAGAAGCAAGTGAGTCTTCCCACCCTGGGTTCCTCATGGTGATTATTTTCATTCTATATGCCAGGTAGTAAAATCAACTTCCCCACCCCATTCTATCAGCTGACAGCTGCAGCAGACTTGATTCAAAGAGCTGAAACTGAATTTCTCTCCCGACTGACATGCTTGCATCAGAAGTCTGGGTTTCTTGGAACAAAATCAGATGATTATGTGAAATGAAGAGAACTAGAATGATCTTTTCTTTTCTCCCCAGGAAGTGTTTGGGTACCACAGCCAGACTTTACGTCGCATCCTTTGCTTTGTAGCATCAGTACTGACCTGTGGGGTCCTTTCGCTGGTGTTCTACTGGAAGCCTCACTGGAGGGTGTGGGCCAACTGTGCCCCATGCCCCTTGCAGGAAGCAGACACTGTTTTGCTAAGGACAAGAGTAAGTGTCCCTCTTTTATCAATTTCAAATGCTATGAATGTGTCTTCTATGTTGTATTTGCGTTATAACTAACTGGAACTAACCTGCACTGAGAACTTAGATCTTCCCTTCTTTAAGGAGTTTGCCCAGACTATAATTAAAGTGATAACGGATTACAGAATCATTTTGGTATATACTTAGTGATCAAAGAACTTAGGCTACTGCCTCACATCAGCCTAGGGAACATGTGCCATGCCAGGTCCACTGGGTGTGCTCTCATTCATCACTTGACTATGATAGTCACCATTGCAGCTCTAACACTGCAGCCCTAACAGAGACAATTCAATATTTTATACTTCAGTATCCCTGAGTGATGCAAACAGTTAATGAGAGAAGTGACTAACTAAAAAGCTTGAATCTACCTACCCAAAGGCACCTTGAAAGGCCTGGTGATGGCTCTGAAAAATCAGCCATTGAAAACCCTGTGGAGCAGAGTTCCCTCTGTCATACGCACATAGGCTGCTACAAATCAGAGACAACACAGCAACAACTGTTTTTGTTTGGGTTTAGTTTCTATCTAAAAGTAGCCAGTAATCATCTTCTGGATAGATAGCTTTATTGTAAAAATGTCTTTTCTTTGTTGTCTAACATAGTGGTTCTCAAATATAAATTCACATCAGCATCACTTGAAGGGTTTGTTAAAACACAAACTTCTCCACCTCTTGGATAAAAGTGATTCAGTGGGTCTAAGGTAGGGCCCAGGGAACTCTGGTGGGCAGGGAGTGAGGTGGGTGTCTGAATCCACCAGCTCCTCTATGGGAGAAAGATAGGCAGTCTTCTCCAACAGGATTCATAGCCTCTGAAAACGCAGTGGTTGACCAGTTATAAGTCAGTTCTGATTAGACAGCTATGAGTGAGTTGAGAAGGTAGGACCTTGGGAGTTTACATGTCCAGCACATTTACAGGGGACATTAATAATCTTGTCCGAACCGTTAACCATCAGAATAACAGGTGTTTTGCAGATGTTTGGTTGCTTGAGAGCCTTACTGTGTAACATTTGAGGTAATAATCAAGTATAATTTGATTATCTTTATTAGGACGAATTTCAAAGATATATGAGGAAGAAGGTGGTCTCTCTCTATTTATCCACACTGAAGTTTCCTATAAGCAGGAATCCAGGAGAGCCTCTGGTGGCTGACCGCCACTCTGTTATAAACAAAGCTGTATTGAAGCCAGAACTAAAAGTAAGTGATTTTCAAAAAGCTGAACATAGAAATTCCATATGTCCTAGCTATTCTATTGCTTGGAATATACACCAAGAAAATGAGAACTGAGGCTCAAATGGAGACTTGTAAACCAATGTTCATAGCAGCATTATTCACCATTGCAAGGACATGGAAACAGCCCAGATGGCCAACCCCAAGTGAATTGATTGAGAAATTGTAATACATTAATATTACAATGGAATACTACGCACCACCTAACTTGGCTGGAGACTGGAGAGTATTATGCTGAGTGAACTAACCGAGCCCCACAACTACTGTATAAAACTAATATTGTAGAATGAGTATGAGGATCCAATGGGGGTGGTGGAAGCAGAGGGGTGAGAATGGCTGGGGAGGAGGGGAGGTTGGAGAGATTAACCATAGGGTTGCACAATTCAATGGGTGGGGGCTGTGTGTGAAGGAAATGGGAAGGTTCTTTGGTGAAAACAATGTATTCTAACTGTAAATAAATCAGTATTTTAAAAAGTAAGCCATTTTAAGAGTGCAAACTTGTGACAGATTTTTTGCAAAGAAAGAGTTTTCATAAGTGTACATTGGATAAAAATTCTAAATAACACCTAACAGACTAGAAATTTTAACTGCATGAAGAAAAAAGGAACCCACGTAAAGTCCTATTTTAAATAGCCCACATTTCCTATTGACTTTCCCTTTGTGAAAGTCACATATTCTATCATATTTGTAATTGCAGATTCGATGCATCCAAGTGCAGAAAATCAGATATGTTTGGGACAATATGGAGAAGCAATTTAAAAAAGTTGGGTAAGTTGAACTTTTTCTTATAATGTTCCTTATGTGGGTAAGTGTATGTATATATGTTGAGGGGAACATTGATTTGTTGAGTGACATCAACTTAAATGTAATTTCTACCCTCACTATATTCTAGGTCACTAGAAGACAACAACTGCTGCTATGATATCCATAATACATTTGGAATGGGTCTGACAAATGAAGAACAAGAGGTCAGGTAGGGTTTGTAGAATTCTTAGGCTAAATTATCAGTGGAAATTGAAGGAGTAAATAGTTTCTGACCAGTGAATTTCTGGCATGTAGTAGTATAACATCAAATTGAAATAGACCCATTGCTGACACTCGAGCTGGTTTTCAGAGGTAGTTAAACACATAAAAGGAGATTGCTCATCCTTCTCATGCAGAGAAACTGGTGAATTTGCATCACGTGCCTTCAAGATTATCGTGCAGCTTCTTGCCACTGCTTATAATATCAATGCATTTATAAAAGGGATATTCTAAATTATTTTACTATTAGCAAACTTATTAAAGAAAAACATCTAAAAGAGTTGTTGTGTGTTCTTGTTGTTGATTGTCATCGAGTTGAGCATGTTTCATAGCAACCTATGAACAAAAAACCTGAAGCCTTTCTATAACTATTATTATTTCTCAAAGCTCATAGAGTTTCCAGAGACATGTTGTTTAGGAAGTAATACAATAAAATAAAACCTGATATTCCCCCAAATTATTATAACAGTATTGTTTGTATTATCATTTCATATTCTTTTCTCAAAAATGATTGTTTCATTCCATAAACATTAACTTCTTAATCTTCCAAATCCTTTGAGAGACACAAAGACAATAGTTATTTTGTTTTATTATGGGGAAATAGCCAAGAGATGAGCATTTTGATAGTTCGTTTAGGCATGCTGTTCACCAATGTGTGTAGCACAGAGAACAGTATCTGATTCATGGTAGGAGTTCAACAAATAACTGTGAATAAATTAGTAACATTTAATCGTGCTAATGCGAAACCTATACTTGGACCAAGAGGCAGTCGTCAGAACAGAGCAGGGCAACACTGCATGGTTCAAAATTGAGAAGGGTGTACGCCAGGGATGTGTCCTATCTCCACACCTTTTCAACCTGCATGCAGAGCAGATTATCCGAGAGGCTGGGCTCTATGAGGAGAAGCGTGGCATTAGGATTGGTGGAAGATCTATCAACATTCTGTGTTATGCAGATGGCAAAAACCTGCTCGCTGAAACTGAGGAGGACCTCATGCACTTACTGCAGAGGGTCAAGGACTGCAGCCTTCAATATGGACTGAGGCTCAATGTCAAGAAGACAAAGATTCTCACTACTGGACCAATCGGTAGCATCAGGATGAATGGCGAAGAGATTGAGATTGTTCATAGCTTCAGTTTGCTCGGCTCCATGGTCAACACTTTTGGCACCAGAAGCCAGGAAATAAAAAAAAAGTATTTCTATGGGAAAGTCTGCTGTTAGGGACCTCTCTAAAGTACTCAAGAGCAACGGTGTCTCTCTGGAGACTAAGGTGCACTTGATACAGGCCATGGTCTTTGTAATCACTTGTTATGCATCAGAGAGTTGGACAATGACTAGTGAGGATAGAAGGAGAATTGACGCCTTTGAGCTGTGGTGCTGGAGAAGAGTTTTGAATGTACCATGGACTGCCAAGAAAACAAACAGATTCATCCTCGAGAGGGTTAGACCTTGGAGGCAAGGATTCTGGGGCTTCATCTGACATACTTTGGACATGTTGTAAGGAAAGACAGATCCTTGGAGAGGGACATCATGCTTGGTAGGGTAGAGGGATAGTGCAGAAGGGGAAGACCCTCTATGAGGTGGATTGATTCAGTGACTGGGGTAATCGGGATGGGTGTGTCAGAGGCAATGTGATTGGTACAGGATAGTGCAGGGTTTAGAGCTGTTGTACATAGGGTCACTATGAGTCGCAAACGACGGCACACCATAACAACAACAACAACAATAATATATTCATTGGTCTATAAACTGAGTATCTCAAATATGACAAGTACTTTGCCAGGTACTTGGGATAAAACAACCCTCAAAAAAAACAAAATAAACACTTGGTTGTATGCATTGTCAGCCACAGTTACACTCGTCAGTAGTCATGGATCTGTTCCAGTCAATTAACTTGTTACCAGCATTAAAAAGTTCCTAGTTGGCCTAGGTTGTTCTCCTACCTGGAGCAAGGTCCCACTGCCTGGAGGTCCATGGTTCTGCTGTCTAGAGGCTCATGGCCCCTCTGCCTGGTGGCTCAGGCCCCACCACCTGGACCCCTGAACCTGCTACCTGGAGGACCTGCTCTGCTTTCTGGATGCTCCTGCCAGCCACCTGGACCTTTGCTCCCACCACCTGGAGGACCTGCCACCACAGCCTCACTGCTGGGATGTTCTTCCTGCTGCCTGAAAACCCACCACCTAAAGTTCCACCACTTAAAGAACCTGGCCCTGCTGTCTGGACATCTCACCATCAAGAGGACAACCCGCTGCCGCCCCTCTGAACTGCACCAGGGACAACAATATCACAAGTGATCCTATTTCCTCTCTTCTCCCTGAGCTTGAGCTGCCTTTGGCCCTAGACTCTGTGGACCTGCCTAGCCTAGCTGTAGCAATTGCCTAACAGAGGAAACTGCTAAATTACAGGCCTTATCTTGACCAAACTGAAGCAAGTCTTCCCTTAAGTCAAAAGCTCAGAGAGAAACTCAGTCAGGGTAGCTGCCCTGCTCTACTCTGGAACAGTGACTTCCTGAGCCAAACTTTTCAGACCAAGACTCTGCTAAGGCCTCAGACATTAAAAACTCTACCACAACAATGTCACAGAAGAAGCAGACTACCTTACACTCTACATAAACCCAAAACAAGATGTCACGCCCAAAATGTGACAGAATATCAATGGATATCCTGAAGCTAAAAAGTCAGAAGGAGCTTTGTGACACAGAATTCAAAAGAACAATGATTGAATATTTTCAATGGGTAAAAGATAAACTCAAGAAATTACAAGATTCTGCAAGCAACAACCAAGAGGAATAAAAAAAAAAAATCCAAGGAAATGCAGATAAAATAAAAGAAGCATTAGAGGCTCTGGATAAACAAGAAACCACAATCCAGGATATGAAGACCAATGTTTCAGATGCTGTCAACAAATTGGAGGGGCACATGAACAGAGCTGAAGAGATGGAACTCAGAACAAGTGAAACAGAAGATAGAATTGCCACCACTGCTCTGCTAGAGAAAAAGCAGGCTCAAAAAGTAAAGAAAAAGAAGAAAATAAGAACAATGTGGGACATCATCAAGAATAATAACATGCACATATCAGAAGCCCAGAACAGGAGGAAGAAGATAAAGGCATGAAGAAAGTTGTGAAAGAATTACTAAAGGAAAACTTTCCAGGCATAATGAAGAATGAGAGAATATATACTCAAGAAGCTGAGCGAACACCAAATAGAATAGACCCAAAAAAGAAAAACACCAAGGCATATCATATTCAAATTTGCCAGAACCAAGGATAAAGACAGAATTCTGAAAGTAGGTAGGGAGAAATAAAGAGTAGCCTATAAGGGAAAGCAAATAAGATTAAATGTCGATTTCTCAGCAAAAACCATGTAAGCAAGAAGAGAGTAAAATGACATATATTAAACACTCAAAGAACACAACTGTCAACCAAGCATACTGTACCTAGCAAAACTGTCGATCAAATATGAAGGAGATGTCAAGATAGTCTCAGAAAAGCAGAACCTAAGGGAGTTTGTAAAACAAGACTGTTGTTGCAGAAAACACTGAGAGGCATCTTTCTTATAGAGGTACCACAGAGAGCAGAATGTACCAAAGTAATCAGCAACAACACCAAAAAGAACTCAACAAAATGATAGAAATAAAACCTTGCTTCTCAATAATTACAGTGAATGTGAACAGCTTAAACACACCACTGAAGAGAAGAGTAATAGATTGGATAAAGAACCCACAAAAACACAACTCATCAATATGCTGTAGACACAATATGTTATAGAGACACACCAGAAAAGTAAAGAATGACTAAAAAGAAAAGAGTGGAAAAAATATACCAAGCAAATGCAAACAAGAAAAAAGTAGAATTAACAACATTAATCTCTGATAAAATAGATTTCAATGCAAAAACTATCACAAAGGACAAAGAAGATCACTACATAATGTTGAAAATGATACACTGCAAAATATACAAAACAAGCATCAACACAACTGAAAAAAGAAATAACACCACTATATTAGTAAAAGACTTCAATACCCCACTCTTGAGAAAAGATAGAACTACAAGTAAGAAACTTAACAAAGATGCTGAAGAATTAAACCACACAGTAAACCAACTCAATCTTATAGATATATACAGGCTAATTTACCCCAAAAAAGAGCAGCATACCTTCTTCTCCAATTTGTATGGAACATTCTCCAGAAGAGATGACATTTTAGGTCACAAGGCAAGCATCAACAAATTAAAAAATATAGATATAC